AGCCGGGCGCACCCCGGGTTTCTATCCCCGGGGCGCGGCTGCTCGGAGCCCGCCGGGCTGCCGGGCCGGCTCGGCGTGCGCACCCCGCCCCGGGAACCCCGGCGGGCACGCCCGGCGCGGCCTCCCCTCCCTCCCCGCTGCGGAGGGCCCGGCCCGGAGGAGCCGCTCGGCCCCCGGCACCGCTTCCCCGCGCTGTCACTAGATGGCACGGACGCACCGCGGATCGCCGCCTGCCCCGGGCCGGCACCGGCTGCGCTGCCCCCGCCCGGGGCCGGCAGCGGTCCAGGCAGCCGGGACCCTGCGGGTAAAGGTAGGGGGGTGCAGGGGAGCGGGAGAGGGGAAGGAAGCGCTTACGCCCAAGTCACCCCTTCGGGGTCTGTCTACCGCTCCGCTGATTTATTGACATAAATAGGCAGGAACACGGAAAACTGACCCGACCCCCCTGTCCGAGTTCAAGGCCCTGCTGCAAAGTGACCGACGCCGCGTGCACCACTCCCCGCCCCCGCACATCTCCGCAGCCTTGCAGCAGCAGGAGCAGCTTGACCGTGGTCCTGCCAACCCCAGATACCCTCCACCCCCAGCCCCCTGCTCCCTTTCCCCACCAGAGCAACAGGCACTAACTGCTGCATGGGGTGCCAGCACCCTGGCCTGTAAGCATGAAGCCAACAGCAGGGCAGGGGCAGGACTTGTGTCCAGCATGGGGGTGGGAAGAATTCAGCTCCCCCTTCATCTTGTGAAAAGCCAGCCCCCTTTACCCCCCTTCCTATTCCTCAAGCCGTAGGGCTGGGCAGCCCCCAGGGGAGCAGCACTTTAAACAAGGTTTCCCATCGCTAGCTGCAGAGCTGCTGGTGACAGGCAGAGGCTGCCCTTCCCCTGCACCGAACAGCGGCTCAAGTCCCCACTAGTCACCAAAGCCCAGGGCAGAGGCCTTGGCCCCAGCACCGCTGGATAACTACTCAGCCCCCAGGCACAAGCCTGCCCCAGGAAACCCCTGCAAAGGCTCCAGTTCCTCCAGTGGGAACTGGGAACCCAGTTCCGGGTCTTTTCAGCTGAGGGCAGTTGTGTACCACACAAGGAACCAGGGAAGGCTGTGGGGGACAGGAGGCTCAGGAAGGAGTCTGCAAAGGAAAGGAGCCTCAAAGCTGGCCGGAGGAGCGCGCCCCACTTGAGCTGTGCAGGGCTCTGGCTGCCCCATGGCTGATGCAGGCTGGAGAGGTCACTCTTGCATCAAGCTGTTGATCTTTGTGAGCAGCACATCCGTCTCAGACTCTGTGGAGATGGAGAGAAAAAAGAGTCACCACAGGCAGCCACCATCCCACAGCAACAGGTGAAGCGGCCTGAAAAGCAGGTTTGAGGAGACTGGGGGAATGTGGGATTCCCCAGCGCTCTCCCACAGGGCTGTTTGCTAAGTGCAGGACAGGAACTCCCTGGGCTGGGATTCCCTTCCCTCCCCCAGCCATCCCAAACCACTCTGTCATGTTCTGCTGGAGAAAGCTGACTGCCTGCCAGGGAGAGTCCCACAGGCGCAGCGTGGCTCTGAGGGCAGGGAGCTCACATCTGTGCACACTCACCCGCTGGCCGTCTTCTCTGGGAGCATTTCCTAGGAGATGGAATAGAATTGATGTTAGTATGTCAGTCTGGCCTCCCCCTTCCCTCCCCCGAGCTCCCAGCTGGAGCCTGTGGGGCCCCACAGGACGCACAGTCCCACAGGGATCTGCTCTCCGTGGTTGCAGCACTGGTAAAGGAGCAGGGCCAAGATCCCCCAGCCTCAGCCCACCAAGCCTTGGGGTGCAGAATGAGCTAGTAAGTGTGAACTAAGGCATCCAGCAGCTCAAGGAAGGGTCAGGCCAGATTTTTAGCCTCAGTCTGGTGACAAAAGCTGCCTCCACACACTGCTGTTTCACTTAGCCAGACAGGAGAGGACCCCCCAGGATCTGAGTCCAGAGAGGGGTGGCAGCAGATACGACTGGGTTTGGGTATGTACCAGACACCCAGGGCACACTCCAGACTCCCCCACCAGACCTGCCCCAGGAAGGCAAAAGAGATCAAACATACTTCAGCAAGAGGAAGGCCCAGAGGATGGCAAGGAAGGAAGTGCAGTCTACAACAATCCAGATCATGAGATACGTGCTGCTGGGCTGCAAGGCAACAAGACAAGCCATGAACACTAGCCAGGGGTGGTGTGCTGGTGGCACAGCCCAGCCTGCTTGCCAGCAGTCCCTTCTGCAGGGCCACATGTTCCCATGCTAGTACAGCACTGGGCAAAAGCCACCCTCCAGGCAGAACCCTGCAGGGCTGCTGCAGAAAGTGACCCACAAATGGCTGGGGCACAGGGCTGTGGGGCAGGATGAAGGATGGGAGGGTCACTTACGAGCAGCCAGATGGGGTGTTTCATCTCCTTCAGCACCTGGCAGGCGTTGGTGGTGACAGAGCTCACCCCAGAGCACCACAGCACAGAGAAGAGCCAAGGCTGGTTCACCACATACAAGTTGACAGAGATGTTGTCCTGGCGGTACTGCCTGCATAGGGACAGCCATGGTCAGAGCAGCAGACAGCAGGGTGTTGGCACACTTAGTGTACAGCCAGAGAGGACTGTATATCTGGGATGAGATCCAGCATTTGCAGCCACATGGAGCAACTGTCTGGAGAGCCAGACCCAGGGCAGATTTGCTGGCAAGGCAAAGGACTGCAGCCAGCTCCATCCCCTGCACCAGCCCTGCCTGATAAGGCACGCTTGTCTGCAAGGCTGTAGCACACACCCTGCCCTTCCCAGCAGTGCACCAGCAACTCAGCCTCAGCTGGCCCTCACTTCTGCTGGCCCCTGGGAGAGAGCTGGGACAGTGTCCAGGCCCCACAGCTGCCAGGCTCCTGGGCACAGGGCTCTCACCTGATCTCCTCAGAGCTCATGTCCTGGTAGGGCAGATTGACATGTAGCAGTGGCTCCTTCTCATTCTGGAGTCTCTTCCGGCCGTAAACTTGCTGAATGCCTGGGGCTTGCTGTTTGACCTGTTCCCTGAACCCATCCGGCAGCCAGAGGACCTAGGTGAGAGCCAGAGAGTACATGCAGAGGAGAAGTGCTCCAGAGAGCTTGCTCTCTTCTAATATTTTCTTGCAGGTCCAGGCACACATGGCCTGCTCAGACAGCTGCTTCCTGTCCCCTTCTTCCATGCTTAGCTCCTCCATGAGGATCTCAGCCAGGACAGTCTCCTACGAGCTTGCCCCAGCCAAGAAGTAAGCACAACAGGCTCCACTGAGGGGAGAAAGCAGTTCCAGCCTAAGGAAGCTGCAGCAGTTGTGTCCTTTCTGGGTCCTTGAATGGATCAAGCAGTGCATCCTTTTGGCCCCAACTCTGCAGCAAGAATGCACCTTGGATCAGCACTACAGTACAAGTCTTTGATGTGTCCCCTCGTGCTCTACATTCCCAAAAAGTCAAGAAAGGAAAGCGATTTGGGTGCTAATTCATCCCCTCAGGGCAGCACGTGTCCTGTGCTGCAGAGGTTGGATGAAGTGCAAAGGCAACACAGGAGGTTGCAGCAGGAGGTGCACGGAGAGGTGTGGCACACTGTGGGGAGGTGAAGGCCTGAGCACTGTTTTCCTGCTCTTGCTAGCAATGTTGGTCCCCTCCCTAGACTGAGTCACTGTTTACACACCAGGGTGGCCAGTGCTGGGGAACCAGAGTATTTGGAGCGGTCTGAAGCTGTAGGCATTAACCCCTAATTATTGGCAACTTCTCCCAGCTAGAGAACCCGATGCCTGGGCAGGGTTCCCCAGCAGGGATCACATATGGGGATGTGCTGTATGGGGTGGCAGGGATTCTCAGTGGGGTTGGTGAGGCATGTCCCACCATGGCAGGGGTGTGACAGCAGGGTGGTGGCCAGCTCACCTGCTGTAGTGGGATGCCTGACTGTAAGATCACTTCCAGGGTGGCATTGACGAACCTCTGGTAGTCACTGTGGTTCTCAGGCCGGAGGTCGAACATGATGGAGATATTGCTCTGCTTGGCTGCCTCTAGTGCCTGTTCCAGGGATGGGATCCTCTGTTCAGCCACCTGGTAGCGATCGCCCGCAGAAAGACTCTGCACAGTGGGAAACGGCCTCCGCTGCAAGGGTGCGAGAGAGTTAGTCATCACAGGCAGACTCCCCATAAGCTTCCACTTCGCAAACTGGTGTCTGTCTCTGGCTCTCAGTTTCCTATGCTGGCCTCTCCACATGCTCTCCAGTGCAGGCAGGCACCCGGATCCTTCTCCTCCACATCCACGGGCCACCTCCACCCTTCTCCCCACTAACAGCACAGTTCAAGCAGCCCCAACACCTGTGGGCATTCAGAGCAGCTCAGCAGTTGGTTAGTCACCTTTTGGAAAGAGCCTTGCCACAGCTGCCTCCAAGCCCAGGCAGGCTGTGCAGCTCAGAGCAAACGCATGAGACATCTCCCCTCAAACCAGCCTCCTCCGTGACTCAGCTGAGGAGTCAGAACAAACCCCAGCTTGGGGCATAACCGCACCCAAGGGATTCGTGCAGGCATGGAAGTGCTTCTGTACCCTGTCCAGGTGTCTGCCAGGGACAGCACTCCAGAGGGAACCTCCCCCAGGGCAGTGCTCATACTTTAGCCAGAAACACACTCATCCCTGACCAGCTACCCCAGGGGCATCCTGACCTCCAGGAACCAGCTGCCAGCATCCAACTGCTGGAGGTCTGTCCAGTTGAAGGCGGTGCTGTTCAGTGCAGCCCTCTCAGGGAACACAGCCTGCACATTGGTAGTCCTGGTGAGTTCCTCGTCATGCATGAGGAATGGGACCCCGTCAGCACTGGCAAAGGAGCAGAGAGGGAAGCTGTGTTGCAAGCTGTTTGTCTCCTATCCCTGCCCTGGCATTTCTATCCCCTCCCAGCCACCCTGCTAGGGTAACCGCCACCCTTATGCCTACTTGTGGTCCTTTACGCAAAAATGTGAGTGTCCAGAAAGCACAGAGCACCTACAGACCGAGACAAGAACCAAGTAGTTCCTTGCTCACTGCAACAGCTGTCCCCATAGCAGGATTGCATGAGATGAACTAGAGCCAGGGTCTCTTTTCCAAGCAGTGCCCCTCCCCGATGGTGCCTCCTTCCTAATGCCCTGGAAGGCAACTTGCACAGGGAGGACAGAAACCCAATACCTCTCCCAGATCATTGTGAAACCAAGCTGGAACCAGTCCCATACTGGGAAGGTGGGAATGGCAGAGCCCTTTGAACAGGGCTGCCTCCAAATGCGGGCTATATCAGTCCTCCAGGTGTGTTCCAGAATGCCCCATGTGAGAAGCGACATCTCAGGATACACAGGCCCCTTCCTCCCTCCCAGTCCCTGCTGCCCCTTTACCTCACCATGACGTCTGTCTCAAAGACTTGCACATCACAGTCCACCGCTTTGTACAGTGACATGAGGGTGTTTTCAGGGGCCAGCTGGAAAAAGAATGGTGTTAGTGCAGAGGGCATGGGCAAGAAGGGGCTGGAGACAGGCACTCACCCTGCCTAGCTGCACCCAGCAGCTTGGCTGGGCTCTATGGCAACCACAATGAGACTGGAATGACCCTGGTAGGATGGGGGATGGAAAAGGGCTGGGTGCAGACAGCCAGAGCCTGCCAAGCCCCTGCTTCCTAGCCCATACTACACAGCCAGGCTTTCTGCTGAGAGTCACCTGCTCCTGGTCCAGCAGCACTCAGCAAGCAGCTCTGCCCTGCAGCTGCTGCACCCACCCGCCTCACCCTGTGCTCACCACCCATCCTCCAGCCCTGTGCTGCCCTGGCTAGTGTGGGGACCTCTCTCTACTGGGCTGGCCACAGCTCGTCCAGGCCTGCAGCAGCAAGCGTCTGATGTCAGTGCCCCACAGCCAGGCACAGCCTGGCTTTTGCTGGCCAGAGCAGCCTGCCCCATCCACCCTGACCACTGTGCCAGGACGCTGCTGGTCACTCACCATGGGTGCTCCTCGGTGGCCAACCAGGGCTGGCTTGGGGGGCAGCTGGTTCTCCTCCATGATGCAAGGGGAGGTGATTCCCAGGGGAGCCAGATACAGCACAATCATCACCGTGCAGTACACAAGCAGCAGAAACACCTTGAGACCTGTAGGTAGAGACAGAGAAGATAGACGGGTGAGGTACAGAGGAAGTATTTTGCAGGCCATTAGGAATAAGCCAAGGCTGCTTCACCTGGCATTAACTTATGGTTGCCCTAGGTCAGGCATAGCATCCCCAGCCTCAGGAACACTGCACATTTATTCTTGGCCCACTACATGTCCTTGCACCCCAACCTAGCACTTCTGCAAGACTCAGTCTGCCATCTATAGCCCTCCTTCAGCTCCAAAGCAACAAGGGCTGAAGCTGCACCAGGGGCTGGTCATGAGAAGGAGCAACCAAGAGCATGTGTTACTACCAGACAGAGTCCTGGGGACCTGTTCCTGCTGCACTGATACTCTCTGTGCACCACTCTGCCACCAGTGCCACTCAGTTGGGTGGTAGGGAGCAGGTCACCAGCTGAGGAGGGAGGTGGAGACCTTGGAGGGGGCTTACCTGTGTTGTGGGTGCGGTAGATGAAGCTGGCCAGGGGCCAGGCAAGGAGTGTCATTCCCCCCACAATTCCAATGTGCAGGAAGGGACCTGTTGCCTGGGGAGGCAAAGGCAGGGTGTCAGCTGGCACCAGCCCAGCCCCTGTCCCCAAAACCCACATGCTCCAATGCCAGGGATCTGCCACTGCAACCAGCACCGCTGTAAGAGCCACAGTGCCAAGGAGGGAAGGACAGGCTTCTGGGGGGACTGAACAGACTCCTTGCTCTGGTCCAGCCACCGTTCATCACCCTGGACTGCAGCTGCTCCAGGCAGGACTGCAAGAGCAGGAGGAGCACCTTGCCTGGCCAGGCAGCAGAAGTCAAAGGCAGGGAGCTAACCCTCATGGCATACAGCCATGATAGGGGCTCCAGTCACCACCCTTCAGTTCATCCCCACAGGCCAGGTACTGGGTACAGCGGGGGAGTCTCAGGGAGTCTCTGGTATCGAGGTGACTCACCTGCAGAGAGACACGTGCACTCCTCCACTCCTCCGCCCACTTTATTCCCAGCCCTATGAAGGCTGCAGCTACCACCAGGGCAGTTAAGATCAGCAGGGTCTGTGGGGCAGGGCACAGGGCAGTTAGGGGAGCACACAGCATCCTGCAGGCCAGCTGGACTCTGCCCTGGCAGGGCAGGCAGAATCCTCCTCTACCCTTCCTTCTGAGCCCCTGCAAGGCCCGAGACCCCACTTCCCCCATTTGTGTTTGCAGCTGAGCTCTGAACCGCATGCTTTGAGCAAGGGGAATATTCCCATCCCAGAGAAGTGTGGCTGGGGCACTAACAGCTGCAGCCCAGCTCACCAGGGACACACAACCACTCAGTGGTGTCACAGCAGCCATACGCAGCCCCAGTAGGCTGGTCACAGCTTCCCAAGGTGCAAGAGCAGCCAGGCCAGGCACCATCTCCCTGCACCACTAGTCTCTCACCTTGTGCAGCCAGTGTAGCTTCAAGGGCTGGCCGCAGAGCTGCAAGCACAAAGCAAGGACCTGTAACAACAAGGAGATGTCAGACGCCACACCTCAGCCCTTTAAGGGCACAGGACTTAGCCACATGAGCTCTGGCCCCCTGACACAGGCAGGGTCTCCGGCCATGCTCAGGCTGACACAGCTCCAGCAGGCTGAACGCTGCGGGCTCCACCTGGCTCTGCACAGGGCACGGTAGCCAGCCTGTCCTCAGCACAGCTCTGTACCCCTACTAGCCCAGGCAGGATCAGTGGGGCTTACCAGCAGCACAGCTGAGTAGGTGATCAGCACAGCTGTAGCTATGAGCAGGAGGAGGGACCAGTCTAGCCACAACTTCCTCTGCTTGAAGATGAACCTGCCAGCAAAGCAGATGGTCAGAGGGGCAGAGGGGACATGGGGAGCAAGGCTGGACATGGGATCTTACTCACTCATTGAAGTTGTGGAAATCATTGAGGATGATGATGGCAAAGTAGAGCCACACCAGTGTGAACAGGAAGACGCAGAACAGGAAGAGGAACCAGCTGTAGTCGCACTGAAAGCCAGAGGTGACAGCTATGCACACACCTGCAGGGCACCTAGCCCCTGGCCAGGTTGCTGAGACCCCTGGGGAGCAGCCAGCCTGCAGCAGGGTGCATAGGGGTTCACAGGAGGCACCAGCCTCATGGGTCCAGGCACTGAGCTGCCCCATGGAGAGGAAACAGAGCTCCCCAGGAGAGGTCTTTTGGCTGGACCCATGCTACAGGAAGACAGACCAGCATCTCCTACAAGCTAAAATGCTGCCTATGCCAGGCTGGGGAGGACAGCCCCTGTGGCAGAACTGCCTCCTTTCCCATGCAGCAGCCCCTGGGAGCAGGCTGGGACTTTGTACACGGGAAGGGGAGAAAGCCAGGTCCTGTTCCCTTCTAGTTGGGTGATCTGTAGGCTGGGTGGAGAGGGGTGCTGTGCCTCAGAGCTGCCATTGCAGCGGTGAGCCTGCAGACTGCTCCTGCCTGCCCAGCCAAAGCCAGGTCCAGCTTCAGGGTCTCCAGACCCCAGCCCCACAAATGCAGCGAGGTGAAGGGTGCCACAGGTGCTGAGCGGGACACCTGGCAGCCTGGGCCAGCTTGCGCATTCCAGGCAAGACAGGACAAGCAGCGGCACTGCCACTCCCATGGGAGTTGGAGACCTCACAGAATCCCAGGGCCTCACCCCTCCCAAGTTAGAAATTGCTGGGGACACCCCCTTCCAGTACCCCATCGGCAGGGGCCGCACCCAGCCCAGGAACCGTGCCTCCCACGTGCCTTGCCAGGCACTCAGCGCCCCAGGACCTGCCTGCCACGCTCAGCCCTCGGGGAGCACAGCGCCCTGCTCCAGGCACGCGTGAGCCCGGCCACAGATGCATGATCATTTGGGCAGGGGACAGCCTCACTGCTGCCAGTGGGCTGCTCTTCCCAGCAGGAACAGAGAGCTCACCCTCTCACTGCTCCAGGCTAGGGTAGTCCCTGGACAGAGAGGGTGCCAGGCAGCACCCCAGCTCTCCTGGGGCTCAGCCCTGGGGAGCAGGACCAGTGGCAAGGGGTCTAGGCTGAGCACCCCAGCCAGAACCCTTCTGCACCCCAGTCACCACTCTGAGCCTCCCACGCAGGGGCTGGCCAGCCCCGGCTCAGCATCACCCGTGGTATCACCTTGGTGGTTCTCAGGCCCTTCCTCTTCTCCTTCTTGGCGGTGATCCACTGGCAGCTGTAGAGGCAGAGCAGGCAGGTGGCACAGGAGCGGCAGCAGCCGGGGGGGTCTGCCATAGCACCGGGCTGTCCCAGGTCAAAGGTCAGGCGTCCTGGAGGAGGATGCACACAGTGTGTTGGGACAGATCTCCCAATGCACACTGCCCCCCGGCCCTGTGGGGATTGGGCACTGCAGCATCCTGGGTCCAGGTACCCCAGCAAAGTGGCTGCCCCACAGCCCTGGGACACAGTGGGGCTGCTGGCCATGTCCTCAGGCAAGGCATGGTGCCAGGAAAAAGTGGCAGCACGAGGTGCAGCCCAACCTGTTCAGCAGGCTGCCCTGGGACCCTTTGCTCAACAACCTTGAGCAAGCTGGGAGCTGGCAGGGAACATGGCCTGCTCCCCAGGCCAGGGTTCAGTGCTCCACCTGGGAGCCAGGGGCACCGTGCAGGCTCCAGGGGCTGGCAGCCTCTCCAGCCAGCTTGACACAACCTTGAAACAGAACAGCCCAGCTGCAAGGACCATGCAGCCCCAGACTGCAGCCCCAGGCTCCTGCTATGCAGTTGGGGGTACGTGCAACAGCCTGGGAAGTCCCTGTCCTCCACCCAGGTCCTCTCTGACGCAGCACCATCCTGGCAGCCCTCCAGCTCAGCTTGCACAGCAAGGGGTCCCCAGGGGGGCTGAATCAGCTGCAGCTGAGCAGGCACTGGATGGCTGTCAGTCTAAGTGCTATGGGGGGCAAGGGGGGGAGCAGCAGTTAGGGGGGGGAACCCATTGCTACATTCACGGACACCCAGGCTGGGTTCAGGGCTACCACTGGGTTCCCTACACACTAGGAAGGGGAGAGGGCCAGGACACTTTGCTGCGGTCCCCAGATAGCCGGTGCTTGGCTGGAGGAAGCAGGGAGCCCCAAAGAAGGTCTCCCTTTATCCACCCTGAGAAACCCCATGTTTATGATGGCTTGTCCTGCTGTGGAGCTGCTCCCCCTCCTCATCCCAACCTCCCCAACAGGCCAGGCACCCCATGCAACACTATAACCCCACAGATTAAGCCAGACTCTCATTTCACTGCGACCACTGAGCCAGGCTTGGGAGCCAGCTGACCACATCCTCCCAGCCACATCCTCTCCAATGTTGAGGGCAAGGGTGTGCCTAGCAGGGCCATGCCCCATCCCAACCTGGGCCCTGGAGATGGGCAGCAGAGCTAGCCCAAGCCCTCCCAGCCCCAGCCAGCTACACCAGAGTGGCTCTGCCATGCCCTGGCTATGGCCAAGGTCAGCCTGGTCTCCCCCCATGACACAGCAGCACCCCAGCATGGTACCTCGCTCCCAAATACCACCAATATGTTGGTCTCCAGGGCTGGGGTGCAGAGTCTCCCCCAGGATCCACACAGGGCAGTGGCCACTGGGGCATGCACAGACAGGTACCAACCTAAGAGCAGGACCTCTAACCTGCCCTGCTGGCTTCTGCAGGCTGGGGGAGGTCTGGGGGCTGCCATCAGCGGGTCCAGCCAGCCAAGGTGCAGGGGACGGTGAGCAGCACAGCAGTGCCCACATCTGCTGCACCCTCCATCTTCTAGGGACCAAATCAGCAGCTGTAATCTGCTTTGTGATCGCACCGAAGGAGCCAGCCCTAACGCAAGTGCAGGAAGCTATGGGACCAGACAGTTTCCCTCCGTGATGCCCAGGGGCTCTGGCTGCAGGCTCATACCCCTGCTGTCACCAGAAGCAGATGCACCACTTCCATCAGGGAGCAGTGGGCTCAGCCAGCATCCCCTGGTTCTCACCCTGTGCCCCCCTCACTGCTCACACAGGCAGAGCACCGGTGCCAGCAGCTGCTCAGGCAAACCCTGCCACCCGCCCCCTGCCCCCCAGCTGGCTCCCACGCAGGGTACAAAGTACAGTAGGAGTGGCTGTGGGCACCAGCCAAACTTCAGCACTCAGCTGCTCAGAGGGGCTGTTCTTGCCAGGACTTGAGCTTGGCAGAGCAGTGGCACAGGAGTCGCCACAAATCTACACCAGTAGTGCTGTCTGGAGGGTTCAGAGGGAAAATGGCACCCTGTTCCCCAGCTCAGAGCAGGACTGCAGCAGCGGCACCTGTAGTTATTGTGCAGCACCCCTGCACCAGGCTCAGGTCCCAAACAGAGCTGGGCTGGGCATGCAGCAGACCCTGCTCAGCTTCTGCTCTAGCTCCAAGGGGAGAGCTGCACAGCAGGAGCTGGGGGTCCATCAGGGCTGGAAAGAGCCCTCCTTCAGCTCCCACCAAACAACCCCCACGGCATACCCCCGGCCCTAGTGTAGGGGGCAGCAGGGGCTTGAATGGGTGACAAACCCATTGCTACAGTCACCGACATGGCAGCATCTGCTTGCAGCCCTGCAGGGACCTTTGTGCCCCAGGGGTGCTGGCACAGGACAACCAGCTGGCCATGGGCAGGGCAAGATCCCCTTGCCGTCGCAGGGCCGAGCCAGCCCAGGCTGGCGCCCAGCCCTGCTGTCCCTTGACCTCACAGGAGGGAGGGCAGAGCTCCTGGTCAGCTTGGGGAACAGGGTGACCCCAAAACCGCAAGGGCAGCACAGCCTGGCCCAGACCCCCCACTCCCAGCCTCATGCCCCATCTCTCTGCCACGCAGTCAGCTCTGGGCTCCCCATCCCTGCTCTCCGGAGCATGGGAACAGCACGGGCAGCCTCTTTTCTCTCCCCCCTCAGCCGCACGCAGGGCCAGGATGATCACCCTCCTGGCCACTCTGCCAGCTCTCCTGCAGCTCCCATAGCAGCGCGGCACGGCATCCCCATGGCATGGGCTGCCGCCCCGGGGCAGCGAGTCAAGAGGGCAAAATACCTGCTCCCTGCAGACGTTGGGTTCCCGCAGCTGGGACGCCGGCAGGCGAGGTGAGTGCTGGGGCTGGGCTCTCAGCTGGGTGTCCCTGCGCGGCGGAGCCCTGCCTGCTCTGCTCCTCCGCTGCCTGCTCACACCCTCCTGGGTGTGTTTGTGGCCCGGCAGAGCTGCCGATGCCGCCTGCAGGTCTCCACAGGCCGGCAGAGGCGGGCTGCCCACAGCGGACTCAGCAGGCAAGGGCCGGGGGTCAGGGCGGGCCCCCGCCACCGGCTTTGTGCCCCACCGACCCCGGCGCAGCCTCTGCTGCGTGGCCGCTGGGGAAGTGGAGAAGGGGCCCAGGGGGGCGTCACGCACCGCAGCACAGAGGAGTTTGCAGGCAGCCCACGCTCCAGACGGATTAAGGCTCCGGGGAGAGCTCCGAGAGCACGGAAGGCAGATGGGGGCAGCGCTTCGTGCGTCGCCAGGCCTTTGAGCAAGGGGCTGTGGGAGCCCCTCTGTCAAAGGGAGACTTTTCCCTTCCTTGCAGAGGAAGCCTGGGACAGATGCAACCCAGGCCACCACAGCTGGCCTAGCTGACACTCACTGGGGCACGCTTCAAAGGCAGAAGCACAGAGCTAAAAGCAGTTTCTTGTCTTGAGCCCAGAGAAATGCTTCAGAGCCAACACATCCAAACTTTGCTAAAGCAGCAGATGAAAAGAGGCTCCAAGACAGGGGCCTGATGCCACCTGCAGATAGACAGGGGGATGCCCTCCATCTCCCAGGCTCCCTCCCTGTGACATGGCACAGCTGCGTCCCCCCCCCAGCTCTAGGTCTCAGCAGAGGCACAGCCCCTGGTGAGCCAGGATGCAGAATGGGTGCTTGGACCTTTCCATGTCAGTGACTTGCTCCATCACCGCCTGGGATCTCAGGGGACCTCTGTGATCTCCTGCCATTCGCAAAGGAGCTGAGAAAGCTGATTTACAGGCAGGTGATGGCATCCTGCAGTGACACAGCAACTGCCAGGCTAGGCAGAAGCCTCAGCACTCACCCCCACATCTGATCCTATTCCACACCATTATTAACAGCTTTGGCACAAAATCACTGGACAGCTCCATGAAATGTGCTGATCAAGTACATCTGCGAGTCCTTACCAGCGGAGGGTCTGGAGCACTGCAGGAAGGATTGTGTAGTAACACCCATTGCTCTGCACCCAAAGGAGTAAGCTGAAAGCATTGCAATAGCCAGGAATGCCCCTGGGATGAGCAAGCAGCCCTGCACCCCAAATTTTGTCAGCCGTGAGCAGCAAGGTTCACCTCCTGCATCTGCGTGCTCTGCCAGCTCCAGCACAGACCAACTGTGGTACCATGGGGCAGAGCAAACCTGTGGGCAGGGGTCTTCCCAGTGGGACTGTGCCTCAGGAGAGGCCCTGGGATGTAGAGAGCCTGTTTTACCAGATTAAAGATATTTAGTGTTGGGGATAGGGTTACAGTTTATAAAGAAGAAGTGAGCACCAGGCAGGGGTGAAGGACCACTTAAGCCAAGAAACAGCTTAGGCGGTGGGGAAGGGAAAACCGAGCATGAATAAAGAGACCGAGGTGATACTGGAAGAGGGGAGGTTGCAGCAGGGCTCCGGGAAACCCAGAAGCTGTGGATTGTAGGGGTGCGAGGCAAAGCTGACGGGAGAGGTGCCCCTCGACCACAGGCAGGTGGAGCAGCGGGACTGGTGGCTCCCCCAGGGGCCTCCCTGGGTACTGACCGCCGTCTGACCGCGCCGGCAGGAGCGCCCTTCTCTCTTGAAGGACAAACGGTGACAACCCCGGCACTACGGAGGGAGCGAGCCCTCCGGGGGCCGCAACGGGCCCTCGCCGGGGGAGCCCCCCGGGAGACGGGCGCGGAGCCCCCGCCGCCTGCAGCGGCCGCCTCTGCCCACCAGAGGGCGC